ACAAGGAGGCCCTCCACTGCTCTGAGTGCGGTAAGAATTACAATACAAAGCTGGGTTACCGCCGCCACCTGGCCATGCATGCTGCCAGCAGTGGTGATCTCAGCTGCAAGGTATGCCTGCAGACCTTTGAGAGTACCCAGGCCCTATTGGAGCACCTGAAGGCTCACTCACGCCGGGTAGCAGGAGGTGCCAAGGAGAAGAAGCACCCCTGTGATCACTGTGACCGGCGGTTCTATACTCGGAAGGATGTTCGACGGCACCTAGTGGTGCACACTGGTCGTAAAGACTTCCTGTGCCAGTACTGTGCCCAGAGGTTTGGCCGTAAGGATCACCTGACACGGCATGTCAAGAAGAGCCACTCACAGGAGCTGCTCAAGATCAAGACAGAGCCAGTGGATATGTTAGGCTTACTTAGCTGTAGCTCCACAGTCAGTGTAAAGGAAGAGCTGAGCCCTGTGCTCTGCATGGCCTCTCGGGACGTGATGGGGGCCAAGGCCTTCCCTGGCATGTTGCCCATGGGCATGTATGGTGCCCACATCCCTACCATGCCCAGTGCGGGCGTGCCACACTCCCTGGTGCACAACACGCTGCCCATGGGTATGAGTTACCCTCTGGAATCTTCTCCTCTCTCCTCCTCAGCTCAGCTCCCTCCAAAATACCAGCTTGGATCTACCTCATACTTGCCTGATAAACTGCCCAAAGTGGAGGTGGATAGTTTTCTGACAGAGCTTCCTGGAAGTCTGTCTCTCTCATCAGCTGAACCCCAGCCCGCCTCACCTCAGCCGGCGGCAGCTGCAGCCCTCCTAGATGAAGCCCTGCTCACCAAGAGTCCCGCCAACCTCTCTGAGGCCCTCTGCGCTGCTAATATGGACTTCTCTCATTTACTGGGCTTTCTTCCACTCAACCTACCCCCATGTAACCCACCAGGGGCCACAGGAGGCTTGGTCATGGGCTACTCCCAAGCTGAGGCACAGCCTCTGCTCACCACTCTGCAAGCTCAGCCTCAAGATTCCCCTGGAGCTGGGGGACCCCTGAACTTTGGGCCTCTGCACTCCTTGCCTCCTGTCTTCACCTCTGGCCTGAGTACCACCACCCTGCCTCGTTTCCACCAAGCATTCCAGTAGCCCCCACGGAGGTCCCCCACTCAGTCTTTTGGTTCTACAAGGGAGCCTAAGTACCCACCCTATCAACCTCCCCCATGAAGGCAGCTGAGCTTTCAGAGCTGGGTTCAAAAAGAAAATTCCAGTGTCTATATGGAGCACTTGGTTTGGGGGCTCAGGCTCCAGGATCAATCTAGAGGGATCCTTGAACCCAGCCCCGTGAACAATCTATCATAGGACTTTCAGGTATTTTTACTTTTATTTTTTGATCTGAACTGGGAGCTATTTTTAGCCCTCTGCCTCTCCAGAGTGTCAGAACCACCTTCAATCTGGAAAAGGGGAAGCCTCTTGGAGACAGAGGGTTTCACCTTGTATGACCTCAAGAGAAATAGCTTAAGAAGCCCGTCTTCTGGTCCCAGCCTGCAGACCCTCCAGCAGTTGGTTGTTGAGTCCTTGCTGTGGAAGGTCTCTTGACTATTACCTGCTTCCAGCTACCAAGCAGGAAAGAGGGCCTCTCTTCTCAGCAATCCCATCCCTACTCTACCAGCAGCTCTATTTCAGTCAGTGTTGTCCAGCAACGGTACCGTTTACACATTCTCCTCAGACACACCATTTCACCTCCCTTGCCACACTGTTAGCCTTAGAGTAATTGCAGTGAACACTGTTTACACACCGTGAATCCATTCCCACCAGTCCATTTCAGTTGCCACCAGCCTGAGCCACTAGGTACCTGGTGTTAACTGGAGCCCTGTTTACAAGGCGGAGTCGGGTCTTGCTGACTTCTCTTCACTTGAGGTCACATTTTTCCCCCGTGGGGAAATAAACTGACTTTGGACTGCTTCAGTTTCTGCCATCTTCCATGACTGCTTCTATTCCTGCCTTCCATGGCAGTGTCCACAGGAGATAGGCAAGAAGATTGGAGCAGCTTTCTCACAGGTCTGCAATTTTGTTTTTCTCCAAGTACATCATGACACCTTCGTCCTCCTGAACTGGAGAGGGGAAGAAATGAAAGGCACCAATATCTACCATTCCCCAATCCCCAGCCCCACCCTGGACATCATGAGCTGTTGTTATTTGTCTTGGAAGGAAGGGTTCTGGGCTCTGGGCTGGATAGCAGAGAAGAGGGAATTCACCCTTGGTTTGTTTCCTCCTGCTTGTCCTTCCAGGACATAGTGGAACTGTCAGAAGAGTTTCTAGAAAGTTAGGATTGGGCAGATGGTTGAGTCCTAGTCTATCAAATCATTGTTGCCTCTCATACCAAAATGTTCTTACCTACAGTGTCCCTTCTGCCTTCCCTGCTTTGCAGTCCCCAAGGACTCTGGGCACTGGGCATTGTCTCCTTTGCTCTCCGTTGAGGACCTGCCACCTGTCATGGTCCCCTCAGTTGCCCTTAGTATCTATCAATGTTTCTTGAAAGAAGTTGTTAGTTCTTCTGCTGACTTGGGGCTCCCTGCCACAGAGAGCACAGCCGAATCCCTAATCCCATTTCATCTCGGTTCTGTATGGGCTTTTCCCATGCACGGAAGGGAGGCAGCTCAGGGACCACCATTGTGGAACCTTTTGAGACACCTCTCTGATTCAGAAACACACTTCTACCTCTTTGCTGTTAACTCCTACAGATGTAGCCAGCAGCCTGGGCACTTCTGTTAGTGGTGCCTTTTGCTGGCTTCTCCACTAGGGTTTCAGGACAGACTACCTAGGAACTGCCTCAATCTCCCACCAGTTCTTCCCTGCCCCTCCCCTCTGTCTAGATTCACTCCAGTTTATCATTGGGAACTGTGCAGGTCCAAGACCTGGACTCCTGCTTCAGCCCAGGCCAGTACTCCTTGTTTGAGGTGAAAGCCTTCAGATTTAACTCCCTGGCCCTTGTTTGGAAGCAATGTGGAGTGAATAAGATGTTTTGATTTAAGCAAGGTAGCTTGGAATACCTTTTTAAAAAAAAAACAAAAAAAAAAAACTGGATATAAGTATGTCTGACAGGATTGGAATCAGACTAGGTGATTTGCTTCTAAAGATTAGTTTCAGTGAGTCCCAGGGACTAATTAAGGTTTGTTTTTAAAAGCGTCTGCCTTGGTACGCAACCATCTCCTGCATGCTATGCATGTTGTTGGGACTCGTATTACAGGAAGGGGCATGTGAGAATCCAAGTGGAACTCACTGCTGCCGTTTTCCTTGTGTTTGGTCTTCACTAGACCCAGGCCCTTCTCCCTTTGCCTGCCACCTCCCTGTTGCCTCATTTTCAGAAACCAGTAGCCTCCAGCCCGAGTATAGTGCACCGGGCTGTTTGAGGAGCCTGTCCTCCTGAGCTTGCCCCTCCCTTGGTGCGCATAGGACAGCAGAGCACCTGTTGTAAATCTTGTAACTGGGGCCTTGTTCCCACCTCCAGTCTTTTCTCCTTGCCTTTTCTCATCCATCCTCTCTGTTTCTCGACTTTTCCAGTGTCCTCACTCTAAGAAATTTTCCTGTCACTGTGAACTTTGCTGGTTATCTGCCTTCACTTGTTTGGACCACAAACCACCCTGCAGTTTCTTAAACCTTTCTCCAACCTACCACCCAAAAGAGCCTTTTTGGCCAGTTGTTAAAAGGATAAGAATAATTTACTCTGTACTCGGTGCCCAAACTCATTGAAGTACCCCTTTTGAGGCCAAGAGAGCCAGAGGGGCATCTGCCCAGGACAGGAGCCATGGCATGTGGCACAGACTAATCAGGGACCAGAAAAGAATGATGTCCCCTCTCCTTGCCACGTACTCTAGCCTGTCAGCAATGCGCTGACAGCACAGGGGACAAGCGCCCCTCAGCCTGCACAGCAGCTTGTCAGAGTTGAAACTGTCCTGGGGCCAGGAACTAGCCTGCCCAGGTGTTGGCTCAGAGGATCCTAGCACTGTCTTAAACAGGTGGGAGGCAGGGAAGGGCGCACCAGTGTCTCTCTCCCCGACTTTACATGGTGTTTTGTTAATGCAAATCTGGGGAAGCAGGTGTGATTGCTTTTGTTCGTAGATATTATCCTAAGTTGAAATTTCCCTAAACCTCCCTTAGGAACCTTTAAGTTTCCCATCCCTTTTTGGTAGCTATTTTCCCCACCCCTTCTCCACGAATTAAAAAAAAAAAAAACAAAAACAAAAAACAAAACAAAAAAAAAACCCAACAGGTTGTATTATACAGGATCAATATTTTGCTTTTTAACAAGGATATTTATGTAATAAACTTTGCCTTAGGCAGGTGTTGGCCAGAAAAGTCCAGATTTCTCTGGGACCTCACCCTGGCCTCTCCTGGAGCTCTGAACCTGCTGTGGAAGGAAGTGGCTGTGACTTTGACCACTGGAGAGTGGGGTCTGTGGTGTGGAAAGGGTGTTCACTGTGTAATCTTGGACTGTGTGGAGTTGTGCCTATCAACTTCTTCAGGTGTTGCCTGGCGTCATCTGCCAGTTCTCCCATGCGCAACTCTTCGTGTCTGGCACTAGAATTCCTGAACACTACTTCACACCCTTCTCTCACTCCCAGTTGGTGAAGCTTTGGAACCACTCTTTCTTAATGCCAGATTATTTAAAGAAAAAAATTACAAGACAAAAACCTTTTAGCACTTTGTAAACACAGTGAATAACCTCTTGGAGTATTTTTGGCTTTATATAAAACAAGGTTTTTAATTGTAAAATATAAGTGCCATTAGAAAATGCACAGGGCATATCTTTGTTAAAGTAGATTTTTCAATGTTTTACAGAATTAATTTTCAAAAAAAGTTTTTATAATGAAGTTGTTTATTAAAAACTTCTGAATGACGTGCTTTGCAGTTTCAAACCTGTTTATTGGGGAAGGGTTGGAGTGAGCCTGGGACTGTGAAGAATGGGATCTGCAGGCCTCTTTAGCATCCAAGGTGATGCTGGTGGTGGGGGGTGGGCAAACAGTGGGTCTTAACTGAGTGTCTTTGAGGTAAGTGCTTCATTGTATCAACTCACATTGGACGTGAGAGTCAAATGGGCTTTAAACACTAAAATGTTAGGTAACTGAAAATGTCAGGGAGTTCAGTCTTCACATTTGTTTCGATGCAGAGGCTCAAACATGTTCAGTCTCGGCATTCCTAATTCTCTGACCCTCTTGTGCAGCTGTGATTGTCCTCAGGCCCAACAAAGGCGAACCTTTGCAATCTCGTAGTGGGTGGTGATTCTAGATGTCATGAAGTTCTGACAGGAAGAGAACCCTTTTTAGGCTCCCCAAGGTACACACATTTGACAGCTAGGACCCAGCTTTACACCCCGTGCTCAAACACCGTGTTTAGATAGTGCTCCAGGCTGAGGTGGGCTCACCTGACACTGTTGCTTGGCCTTCTCTTAACAGATTGTCATCACCATCCCAGGCCCCATCCCTTGCACTGACATCTTCCCATCTGGGAGCCAGTGTCCAAAGCCAAACAGTTACTTGGAGTTTAGCCCAAGATGCTATGGGGCCAGGAAGAATCAATGTGCAGGTGTTTGGTACACAGAGGCAGGGGGCTGATTCTTTATTTTAGCCTCTCCCTTGACAAGTATCCACTGCCCACCCCAGTGGGTCAGGAACCCAGCTAGGACCCCAAGGGATTCAATCTAGGAGAGGTCAAGGGCAGGGGTTTCTCAACCTGTGGGTTGAACAATCCTTTCATAGGGGTTGTATATCAGATATCCTGCATATCAGCTATTTACATTATGATTCATACAGTAGCAAAATTACTAAAGGGTCACAGCATTAGAAAGGTTGAGAACCACTGGACTAGGGGGTTCAGCTGAAGGCACTGTGATGTCTTTGACAGGACGAGGCTGAAGGCTTTCTGGAGGATGTTGTAGGCAGAGATGGAGGCATTTGGTGTACTGACCTCCATAGTTTGGGAGCTGAGATCACAGGAATGCAGCCACACTTGAAGGATTGTGGAGCACAGGAGCAGTTCCACCCAGGCCCTGCACTGAGTCCCTCTTTTTTTTTTTTAAAGCAACCGGGTCCCTGTCCTAGTTTGCTTTCTGTTGCTTCGATAAAACAGCAACCAAAGACGGCTTGGGGATGAGAGGGTTTATTTCATCATATAGGTTACCAGCCATCAGTGAGGGAAGTTAGAGTAAGAATTCAAGCAGGGCAGGAACTGAGAGACCATGCACAACTTGGTCCTGGAAATGGGTTTCCAGGAAGACTGGAGATGAGGGAATCGGCATGAAGAAAGGACAGACACATGAGGAAAAGCTGGGATTAGGTTGGCCTTCCCTCATAGGGGGCCAAACCAGCTGCAGCAATTGGAACCTCAGTGCTTTTATTATGTACAGCATGAGAAGGAAGGGCTAGCTCGTCTTGGTATGAGGTCTGTGGGAGAGCGGTCTCAGATCTCAAGCTGTAAATGTCTGGAGGAGGAAGCTGAAGTTGACGCTTTTTGAACTTTGTCAGCATTCCCACACAGGACCCAGGGGAAGGCTTCGCCAGTTCCTGTGGATCTGATGCATTGCTCCTTAGAAGCAATACACATTCACTCAAGGCTTCCTCTGCTTCCCAGTGTTCAGCCGCCTTTCTTACACAGCCCAGGCCCACCTGATTAGGGGTGGTACCGCCCATGATGGGCTGTGTCATCCACATCTATTAGTGACCAAGAAAGTGTTCAACTGGCCAATATGATGGAGAAAGTTCCTCAACTGAGGTTCCCAGGTGTGTCAAGTTGATGGCTAAGATTAGCTATCACAGTTTCATGTAGCCCTAACTGGCCTGGAACTCAGTATGTAGAGCAGTGTGGCCTCAAACTCAGATGCCACACCTCTGCCTCCTGAGTGTAGTGCACCTTGTTTGGCCCTTTTTTGTTGTTTTGAGTCAAGACCTCAATTTGTACATACCCGCCCCCACCCCCCTTGAATTTTTGAGACAGAATTTCTGTGTAGCCCTGGCTGTCCTGTACCAGGTTGGCCTCAAACTCAGAGATTCACCTGGCTCTGCCTCTGCCTCCTGAGTGTAGGGATTAAAGGCATGAGTCACCACTGCCCAGCATGTATGTATCCTTTAAAATCCACTTTTATGAAATGGCTGGCGCTGAGCCTTGAGCCTGGGCCATGTGAAGCAAGGTCCACTTGATTTCAGCCAACAATAGCCCAGGAGGATCCCGCTCCTATGGGAACTAGGCTAGTGACGATTGCTTCCTGGTTTGCAGCAATTTAAGATCTTTCCTGGCCTTCAATTCTTTTAGGGCTTTCCTTTCCAGCGGCTTGATTGCCTGACAATTATGCTTATCTTTAGTTCCCAGTTTGAATCTGGCAGCCCTCTGCCTGTGCCAATATCCTGTTGCGAGGCTGCAAGTGTCCTAGCTGCCTGCTCTAAAGCTGCAAAGAGCCCGGCAAGGGAAACAGTCCTCCCCTGCTGATGGATGGAAGGTTATAACCGTGTTTGAGGATTGGGCCTGTCCCCTGATGCCCGCCCCAGTTGTCCTTTTGCCTAGTCCACACCAGCCCTGCATTTCGTCACCTGCCCTACTAACCTGGAACCAGTTCTGTTTGACACGGGTGGTCTTCCCCGTCCCCTGCAGTGGAGGGACCCTAGCAAGTCACATCCGGCAAGGGGGGTGCAAGGGGCGGAGCTCGCCCCAGAGAAGAGACCCTGCCTGCTGCCAGCATCCTACTGCCGAAACAGACCACAGTCCTGCCGGTGCTTTCCCGGCCTCTCCATCCAGAGACTCAGCAGGAGATGGCAGAAGAGGGAATTGGGGTTCTGGACCCAGCTGCACATCCACTACCTGGGCAAAAACAAGACGAGCGCCTGGCCCCGGCATCCAGCGCCCTCGGAACCGGGGCACACGGGTCCTCCGACCCCGCAGCCAGCGCTGGGACCACACTGCCTGCCCTAGAAAGCACTGGAGAGGCCTCCACCTCCAGCGTTCTGAACCCGGAGGGCTGTATGCAGGACTGGGGGATTCAGGTGGATACCGGAGGGAAGGCCGAGGAAGTGACGACTGAGGAAGAGCCCTGTAAGGTGGGGGAGAAGCTGGAGGGGGTCACAGAGGCCCAGGGAAGCCTAAGGCCTTTGGATCTAGGGGCCCTCATCCTGGACCCGCTGGAGGCCATCCAGTGGGAGCTAGAGGCCATGAGTGCCCAGACTGACGGAGCTTACCTCCGGCTGGAGCGCAAGTTTGGGAGAATGCACAGGTTGCACCTGGCCCGCAGGAGCTTCATCATCCAAAACATTCCGGGCTTTTGGGTCACTGTCTTCCTGAACCACCCACAGCTATCAACCATGATCAGCCCTAGGGATGAAGACATGCTTGGCTACCTGATGAATCTGGAGGTGAGGGAGCTCAGACACACCAGAACAGGTTGCGAGTTCAAGTTCCTGTTTGGGAGCAACCCCTACTTCCGAAATGAGATGATAGTGAAGGAGTACGAATGCAGATCTTCAGGTCGGGTGGTGTCCATCGCCACTCGCATCCGCTGGCGCCGAGGCCAGGAACCCCCGGCCTTGGTGCACAGCAACCGGGACACCATGCGAAGTTTCTTCAGCTGGTTTTCACAGCTTAGCCTCCCGGAAGCTGACAGAGGAGCCCATATAATTAAAGATGACCTATGGCCCAACCCTTTGCAATACTACTTTCTGGGGCAAAGGCCCTGCAGAGCTAGACCAGGTTTTGCAAGGTGGTCACCAGAGGCTCTACCTAGGCCCTATGGGTTCCAGTCTGGCTAAGTTCTGCTCAAATACATGGTGCCTACATAGGATTCCTCTACCTGTGAACCTACCTATGTTCAGGCCAGAGCTCTGCTATCTGCTCTCCTGTGAATTCTGGTTCTTCAGCATGTTTGGTGGACTCAGGGCTAAGGCTGTGACCTTCATGCTGTTCTATGTCAACATCATGTGATTCTCATATGCCACTGCACTTATAATGGGCGCCCAGTGCTATGGACTTGTACTGCCATTGTGTGCGTGGCCTGGGTCCGCCTGTAAAACGTGGCTTTTCTACTCACTTGGCACCATTACCTACAAGGCTTCACAAGGACCAGTGCCTGTTTGAGGACTAGTGCTTCAAAGCTACAATATGCTGGCCTTCACAACTGTGTTGACTGTCTCATTGTCTAAGATAAAGTGGGTACATTTGGTCTTGGTGGTCAACCAGACTTGGGATAGCCCATGGCTTCAGGACCACAGAGCAATTCCTACCCACTGGACTGTTGGGCATCTGCAACCTGGGCAGCCAGATGATCAGACATGGGTGAGGCCAAGCCTGAAGCAGTGGCCAGTGTATTGTTTTTGATCTTCCCTGCTCTTCTTATCCTATGTGTGCCCCTCTCATAGACTGCTGTTAGCTTGTGAAGACCCATGCTGTGCCCCACCCATGCCTGGCTATAGCCTTTTTGAGTTTTGCCCAATCCACCATCATCCCTGTTGCCTGTTCTCAGGTCTGTAAGGGCCACCTGTCAATGTAGTGAGAGCTCCTAATTCCAGAGATTGCACTAGGCTGGAATATCTGGGCATGTGCTCAAAGTGGGAGCAAGGATGGGAGTCCCTCCAGAAGCCAGACCCTTCATCAGCTTTTCCTATATCTACCCGTTTGTCAGCTGCCAGGTTATAGGTGCTGGAGAGGGGCCACGTGGCCTGTTTACACTGGCATAGATCTCACATCGTTTTTAATGGGACAACTCTGAAATGAGTAACTGAAGAAGCAGTTTTTTTCCAAATAGCTAAGGAGACACTTTCTTGAATTTGCCTGTGTCCAGAGAGGGAGACTCTGTCTTATGAGCTGTCAGTGCCCTGTGCCCCCTTGCCCTGATCTATGAGCTGCCAGTGGCCTGTGCCCCCTTGCCCTGATCTATGAGCTGCCAGTGGCCTGTGCCCCTGCCCTGATCTATGAGCTACCAGTGCTCTGTGCTCCCCTGCCCTGATCTCTGAGCTGCCAGTGGCCTGTGCCCCCTTGTCCTGATCTATGAGCTACCAGTGCTCTGTGCCCCCTGCCCTGATCTCTGAGCTGCCAGTGCCCTGTGCCCCCTTGCCCTGATCTCTGAGCTGCCAGTGCCCTGTGCCCCCTTGCCCTGATCTCTGAGCTGCCAGTGCCCTGTGCCCCCTTGCCCTGATCTCTGAGCTGCCAGTGCCCTGTGCCCCCTTGCCCTGATCTCTGAGCTGCCAGTGCCCTGTGCCCCCTTGCCCTGATCTCTGAGCTGCCAGTGCTCTGTGCTCCCTTGCTCCTTGCAAGACTTAGACTAGTCAGAGTGTGCAGTGCAGGGTTGGGGCAGGGACAGCTAATCACTTCATTTTACACTGTGTTCTTTTAAAGAAACTCCAGTCTCCCCTCCGCCGCCGCCGCTGCCACCCCCACCCCTTGTGGGTTTATAGATAAAAAAGACCAAACTGCCCTGCCCATGAGTCTCCTCCAGGTTGTCTCTATCTCATGAAAGGCCTTACTTTCTGCTCTCTAGGACCTGGAGGCATAAAATAAATGGGGATGGAGAACCCTCAGTCTTTGCTAGCTAGTTTTCTTTCTTTTCCTTCCTTCCTTCCTTCCTTCCTTCCTTCCTTCCTTCCTTCCTTCCTTCCTTCCTTCCTTCCTTCCTTTTCTTTTCTTTTGATTCACCAATATATTTTGTAAATTAGAAGAAACATAATACTGTCACTTTTGGGCTGTTTTCTGGTCCAGTTATGAGCTTGTATGGGCAGAAAGTTAATGTGTTTTTCATTTTGAACCTTTTGAGTATGACCCATGCATCTCCTTCTCTGCTCCTACTGGGAAATTGAACTGTGCAGTCCTGCTTGTGTTTAGTTGAGGACATTTATAAGATGGCCACTGTAACCGCTCTGTAGCACTTGGACATTTGTGATTATTCACGGTTGTTATCAAGTTGTGGCCTGGTGCTATAATTTCACCTTACAGATACAGCTTGAATCTGGTGATTCTGCAAGACAATGCTGGGCATTGTTACTGTGTTCTGTGAGAATAACCCCCAGAAGGACCCTGGAATGGATGGTCTCCTGGCCCTGCAGACCATATTGCAACTGACATCTTTGTTTCCAAATGGAGACATGTTCCCAGGTGACTTTGTGTAGTCAGAAGAGGATTTGTGGCATTTTATCTCCAACAATAATGATAAAGAGTAAAAACCTTTCGATCTAGAGGAAATAGACCATGTTATTCCCTCTTCTAAAAGCTTCTATTCACGAACAGGCAAACACATGAACCTCCCAACCCTTATCATCGCTGCCCAAGCCCTGCCTTTGCTGACCCTTGTGGCCTCTCCACCACCTCCCTCAGCTCATTGGTTTCTCCCCCTCCCCCAATGCACACACTTACACACACACACACACACACACACACACACACACACACACACATCTTGTCGCTCCTGAGAAGATTTTTGCACTTGCTTTTCCCTCTTTCTGGATTTTTCTTCAGATACAGATCTGGTTACTTCAACTTATTCAAGTCTCAAATACCCTTCCTACCTTCCCTGCAACCACCTTGGGGGATATTCTCTTTATTACATGTAACTCTACAATGGTGTTTTCCTGCTTTCTTTCTTCCCTCGCTCCCATGAATCAGGAAACCAGGGACGCATCTGCTGTTTTGCTCACATGGGTCACTGTCCAACATCCCCCATTATCAGCATGAATGAGTGGCCTTATCTGAGTGTGCTGGAGTGCTGTGGTGAGGTTCTGACAAGATAAAGAACAAGGCATGGCTCCTGCCCAAAGGACTGCAGTTGGGTGGAGAGGGGCAGGATGATGAGAGGTGACTGTACAGTTGTCATCCCACTGGAACACATATGCAAGTGAAAAGTCACTCCTAGAAATCACCAAGACAAGAGGCCACATGCTACACAACGCTCACTCCAAGGAGAGAACCTAATTCAGTCCAGCATGACTAGCAGTTCGCCCCAGCTGAAGGTGATGGGAATAGGGACACTTCTCTGGTATAGGAATTCTGGAGATGGCCTGTTGGTTTGTTTGCACTTTTGAGGCAGTATCTCATTATGTAGCCCTGGCTTGCCTGGAAGTGGTTAATATAGATCTGACTGGCCTCTGCCTCCCAAGTGCTGGACTGAAGGTGTGTACCACCATGCCTGGCCTAGAGGTGGCCTTTGGGGAGTAGGCAGAAGTTTAAGAAGCAGAGCTCTGGCTGGGGCTGTAGCACAGCGAGAGCCCTTAGGAACCTACTTGTGTGAGGCGCTGGTTCCATCCCAGCTATGTAAAAAAAAAAATACCTGGAGTCTGGAGAAGGGACCTTCTAGCAGGGCAAACAGCGTAAGTGTGCAGACACTGATGTGTGGAAATGCAGTGTGTTGAACACAACTGCCTGCTGGAGATGGGTCGGGCCGGGTGGAATGCCAGGCCGAAGCTTTATTCTGTGGATGGCAGCGAGGAGTGTCAGGTGTGGCTTGGAGGAGGTGTGGCTCACAGGGCAGCCAGGAAGCAAGGAGAGGACAGTGCCACTCCAGATCCTCACCAGTCTGTAGCTCTTCTCGGAAGCCTCCATGATTCCCATAGAAACCTTTTTTACTTTTTGGTTTTTCAAGACAGGTTTTCTCTGTGTAGCCCTGGGTGTCCTGGAACTTGAGCTGTAGACCAGGCTGGCCTCAAACTCATGGAGATCTGCCTGCCTCTGCCTCCCAAGCGCTGGGATTAAAGGTGTGCGCCACCACCTGGTGATTCTCACAGCAATCTTACCACCTCCCAAGTACAACATAAACGCTGGCACCTGGCTGGCTTCTACCATCTGGGTTTCTCATTTATGCCCTAAACATGTCCTTGCTGTTTGCAAGGAAATCAGAGGGAAGCATTGTAGGGACTGGCACACCATGGGATTTGCCTGATTGTGCCTGCTGGTGGGATTTGTCTGATTGTACCTGCTGGTTGTCAGGCATACTCTGGCTCCTGCCTAATTTAGGGCTTGGCAGCCTTGTGCCCCCAGTTCCTGGGCGGTGGCACTAAAGTGAAACATGGGCTTTACCTATTACATAGTTTGTGCCAGGCTTCCCTTGCACTGCTCAGCCACGTGCCCTGCCCTTGTGGAGCATGAGCCTTGCCCACAGAACTCTTGCTTCTAACATGTTTGTTTACCTACACATTTTTTTTTTTTTTTTTTTTTTTTTTTTGGTTTTTCGAGACAGGGTTTCTCTGTGTAGCTTTGCGCCTTTCCTGGAACTCACTTGGTAGTCCAGGCTGGCCTCGAACTCAGAGATCCGTCTGGCTCTGCTTCCTGAGTGCTGGGATTAAAGGCATGCGCCACCACCGCCTGGCCTGGCTGGAGTCTTCTTTGGAGGTTTACACTACCTAAGACTCTACTGCATTTTTTTCCCTATTTGTTTGCTTTTTAAAAAAATCAAGACAGGATTTCTCTGTGTAGCCCTGGCTGTCCTCAACTCACAAAGATCAGCCTGCCTCTGCTTCCTGGGTGCTGGGATTAAAGGAGTGCACCATCACCTCCTCCTCCTACAGCACACTGTTCAAACAACTGCTCCCCTGGGACTCTCGGGGACTTCTTCACTGCTGTCTCCCCTCACCTGGAATAAATCAGGCCGTTCTACATGGAGGGGTTTTCAGGTGGGCAAAGGGAAACTAGACCACCTCGGCCAGAGGACTGCAGACAGGCACTTCAGGGCTTAAATCTCTTCAGGGACAGGAACTCTCCAGGCAGCCTGGGAACTGGAGGGATAAATGCCCATGGGCCCATTCCCAGCCCCTCCTGCAGAGATGGCTGTGAGCTTACAGGCTTCCAAGCATGAGGAAAGAGGCCAGAGTGAGCAGCGGCTTCTGCTCCAGTATGGAGAAGAGACCGAGCCCAGGTTTTCTCACCTCATCTCAGGTGTCTACCCTGTTCTTTTGGCCTAGAAATAAAACTCTGGACAAGTTACTTTCAATCTGGGAAAAACCTGCCCCTAAACTATGGCAATTGCTCATAATCAGCAACTGCCTTGATTATAGCCCAAAGGACTTTGATATTTTCCTTCAAGGATACTATTTCAGCACAAAAATTCAAGGAAGTACCATGTCAGCTTGCCCCTTGCTCAGCAATAGAACTATTGATTAGAGTCTGAATGTGGACTTCCCACCCATGGCCCCACTAGAACTGAAGTGTGGGGTGATGGTGCAGAGCCGTGGGGCATAGGAGCCTTGTGGTATGGTGGGGTGCTATGGGGAGTGGGAGCCATGGAGCAGCAGTGGGAAGCTATGGGGTATGGGAGCCTTGGGGTTTGGTGGGGTGCTATGGAGTGTGTGAGCTATGGGGTGGTAGTGGGAAGCTACAGGGCGTGGGAGCCTTGGGGTGGTGACGATGAGCTGTGGGGTGTGGGAGCTTTGGGGAGGTGGTGGTGAGCTGTGGGGTGTGTATGGAACCTTGGGGTAGTAGTGTAAGATGTGGGGTGGTGGTGAGCTGTGGGGTGTGTATGGGAGCCTTGGGGTAGTAGTGTAAGATGTGGGGTGGTGGTGAGCTGTGGGGTGTGTATGGGAGCCATGGGGTAGTAGTGTAAGATGTGGGGTGGTGGTGAGCTGTGGGGTGTGTATGGAACCTTGGGGTAGTAGTGTAAGATGTGGGGTGGTGGTGAGCTGTGGTTCAATGGGCACAGCTGGGAGGCCCTTCCTGCCCTCCATCATCCTCTACTATATGTCTTTGGGTGTCTTTTCACAGCCCTCAGCCAATTTTCTACCCCAACAGAGAACTGGGAATTCCTTAGTGGGAAGACAGTGTCTCCAGTAGAAGAGCAGCGTTTCTCAACCTGTGGATCATGACCCCTTAGGGGTCAAATGACCTTTTCACAGGAGTCACCTAAGACTATTGGAAAACACAGATATTTACATTGCAATTCATAACAGTAGCAAAATTATAGATACAGAGTAGCAACACAAATCATTTTCTGGTTGGGGGTCACCACAACATGAGGAACTGTGTTAAAGGGTTAGTCACAGCATTAGGAAGGTTGGGAAGCACTGATTTAGAGGGTCCCTTCTCTATATGCACCTCCAACCCTCCAAGAGACTGACTCAGCAGCAATGCTTTTGGAGGCATCTAACAGGTCTAATTGATTCACACAGTAGGCTTTTTCCTACATGAGTCTGCTTAGGTAAGACAGGCTTGGGGTTATTTATCAGCTCACTGATGTCTTCAAGGACGGGGACCTTGTCCTATCTGCCACCCTTCATGCTGGTTTCGCTCTTAGATTGGGGCCAAGGCAGTAGCTCCAAGGGTCACACTGGGATATATCGGGAACTACCCAGATTCTGTTCCAAAGGGAGATAGCCCTTTCCAGGGGCCTCGGTGCTTTCCTGTAGCTTGCTGGCTAGAACTGGGTCCCACTCTGGAGTCTGTTATAACAGAGGGGAGAGGGCACTGCAAGTTGCTCAAAGTAAGCATAGGGGAGGTGGCTATAATCTAGTCCTTCCTGGGACCCTTCAGGGAGTACTTGCAGTGTCGTGGCCCTCAGGGCTACAGGGTATTGATTTCTAAAACATTCCTTAAATCGTCACTAATCTCTACCAAACTAAGCAAGCAAGTAGTGTTTTTTTTTTTTCCCTCAAGGTGGTCTTGACCTCCATGTGTGTCATGGTGTTCTCTCTCCCTCACACACACTTAATAAATACACATTTAAAAAGCTACAATGGCAGTGCAGGAGTCACAGTGACCTCAGAGACAGAGGACATGTTGGGGCTCTGGTGTCTCTGCTGGCTATGGTTCATGGCATCAGCACAGCCAGCCAGGAAGCTGACTTGGCAGTGGCTGACTATCCTGTGCAGTGCCTGGCACCTCCAAGACTGTGCTCAACAGTTCGGGAAATCTAGCAGTAAGAGAAGATCTGAGAAGCCTTCCCACTGGAGGATGCCCTGGAGGATCATCTAGGTTAGGCCAGGCAGGAAGACCCACTCTGTGTGTAGCATCACCTCACGGGCTTTGGTGCTGCACTGAACTGAGGAGGGGAAAGGGAGTGGAGTACCGGTGCTCACAGCCGTTTCCTGACTGTGATGAGGTGTGACCGGCCACCTCAAGTTCCTGCTGCCAGGACTTGGCCTCAATGGGATATACCCCCTCTAACTGTAAATCAGAATAAAGCCAGCTCTGCCTCCCAAGTTCTGGGATGCTTGAGCCTAAATTTCTATTGCTTTGAAAGCATCCTACCTGACACAGTGAAGCAAGTTGGGAATTTCAAACCAGGTTTCAACACTATCGGAGTCCATACTTGTTTGCCACTTCCCACTTATTCAGAGGGGCAAATGCCTGCAATTCCACATGGAGGGGCTGAACAGAAGAGGCTGGCTAGCAGCAGGCACAAACAGCCTGATCCTAGACAACCTGGACGGGAGACTGAACTTCAAAAGCAGCTACTCAATCCATTAGGTGAAATGGTCATACTTCAAACCCCACACTCTTGCATGAGTCAAGATGTAACAGGACAATGGCATTTTTATTTACAATTGGACCAGAAAAAGGCATACAGGCATTTTTTTAATTAAAAATAATGATGATGATTTAAAAAGTCAGAAAAATTGACAATGTTTGAAACCCACCCCCCAAATGAGAACCTTAGGGGGAAAATGCAAGATTTGAACGAACAAGTAACTCCCAATCACTTTCTACTTTTTGGGTTCCCTTTTCTCCAGCCTGATTCGTGGTGGATGCCGCTTGGTGCTGTGGAGTCACTGTGAGGCAAGATTGAGAGGTTCACTGATTTGACTGATGATGGTGGCATCAAAACGATGACCAAAGTGAAGGGCAGGGTGTGTTCCTAGCATAAGCAGCATCCTGAGCTTTGTCTCCCAGCAGGGTCCCAAAGGACTGGAGCAAGGGCAAGTGGCTGTTACTGACCCTACACCCAGGGTGGGTTCGGTCTCTTCTATGACTTGCACAGGGTTCATAGGGGCTGGGGTGGGGTGGAGGAGCTAGGCCAGGTATGTGAGCCTCCCTCCAACTTGGGGAGACTGGCTTCTTGCCTATTCCTAGAAACTGGGAAAGGAGCAATCCAACTTACCTTCCATTTTCCTTCTCAGAGAATTTTCTGGGTATCCCCAAAAGAACTTGCATGGGAGGAAGAGGGGATGGGTCTGGCTAAAAGAACTGAGTAAAATGCTGACTGAGGCCAGGGGCCATGAGGAGAGAGCGTCTCTCCCTGGCCACCTCAAGGAAGAGATCTGAGGACTCCAGACCTGAAAGTGAGGGAAGAGGAGGTCCACCATCACCCTTTAGAAAGAGTGGTGCCCCCTAAGGAAAGGACTGGGGAACAATCTTGAGGGGCGAGCACCCTAGTGGCCTTAGCCACCTCTTCCCAGACACACACATGGGTGCTTGGCTCTAGGAACACTTGGCCCTGACCCAGGGCTTCTTGGCACGAGAACAGTTCACTGCAGGTCTCATCTCTTCCTCGGTGGCCAGCAAACTCTGGCTGCTTTGATGAGGGAAATCCTGCTGTCCTAGGGAACCAGGACATGTCCTTGTAGTAACCAAGGCCGGGGCTTGCTCCCGGTCAAAACGATGACCAAAGGCCTGGCTGGAAGCCCTGTTTCGGGCGGCAGAGGGCAGGCTGGGGAAGAGAATGGGGGAGGGGCCGGCAGGGGTTGGCTGGCACTGAGGCTACTGTCCGGGCTGGAGCTGTGCTGTGTCGTGGCATCAGTGGAAAGGATGGCAATGAGAGGCCTGGAGCCCTCACTGCAGCCCCTGGTGATCCCTCTTCCAGTTAGTGGTGGAGGAGCCAAGAGCTCTGAAGAGCTGATGGGGACAGTGACTAAAA